CCCCAAAACCCCAAAACCCCAAAACCCCAAAACCCCAAAACCCCGTAATGAAGAGTTATAATTGAAATCTGGGTTATTAATATTTCAGTGATGGAAGAAACGAAAGGATCTGGTGTTGATAATAAGGATCTTAAGAAACCTCTTTTAGGGGACTCTGAGATGAATCTCCCTGATCAAAGAATTGAGAAGGTAGAAGATAAGAATACACCAAAGGACTCCAGTTGGCTTATTGCTGGAATTGGAGCAGGTCTTTTCGCAGGATTTGGAAATTTGGCAGTTGCCAAAACCTCCCATTTCGGGTTCTACACGAGAGAACTTATTCTTCTAGGAGGACTTGTTCAGGCTTTCCTCTTCTGGATCGGTAGGTTTATCTACATCAAATGCAAGACTGGAAAATTCTGGAACTGGGAGAACTCAGGATTCAGAGATCCACAGACAGACAAATTTAGATGGCAATCTGTGTTTGCTATATGAATGGATGCAACCATCAAGATCTTGGCTGGCTGGGGTGTGATTATTTCTTTCAAATATGCACTTTACGCTCAGGTGAATCAAGGAGCTATTACAACTATTTATAATCTCAGCGGAATCTATGTTGCGATGATTTCGTGGTTCGTGTTTAACGAGAAGCTCAACAGGTTCCACTTAATTGGAATGTTCCTTTTAATAGGTTGTGCTGTCACTATCGTTCTTTCGAGGAGTTCAGGAGGAGAAGGGAAGGTAGAAGTTTATGACTCTGAAGTAGACAAGATGAACCCATTGATCCCAGTGTTGATGGCTGCAGGAATCTCCTTGGTTTATGCTTGTAGAAGCATCTATGTCAAGCTCTTCGTAAAAAATCTGAATTTTAACAGTTTTGACTTCATGACTTATTCGTATCTGCTTTCTGGAATAATTTTTGTGCCTCATGTGATTTCCTCTATGCAAGAGTATGAATTCATTTTGGAAGTAGTTGTTCTCGGAATCATTTCTGGAATTTTGAATGCATTATCTTCATTTTTCTTATACTATGCTACTTCTACAGGAGTGACAGGACCAGCTTACTCTCTGAGATCAATCGAGCCTATTATTCAAGCTGTTTTCGGCAGCCTATTATTTGAAATCTATCTGAATGGCACCCAAATATTTGCGATTTGTTTGGGAATCCTTGGCTCTTTGACTCTGACACTTGGACCGATGATCTTTAAAACAAAGGATAAGAAGAAAGCTTAACACAGTGTTGAGGTTAATTAATGAATCAATTATTGATCTTCAGTTGCTGGTGATAAATTGGGGTTTTGGGGTTTTGGGGTTTTGGGGAG